AAGTAGACACAGCAGGACTGTAGAGGGCACTCGGATCAGGAACAATTTATATTCATTAAAGAGACAGAACTTTGGGCCTCTGAAAAGGAAAGCCAAATAGTGAGATTCTATGAATGTCCAAAAGGACATTCACATGTCTATGTGTGAATTTCACACATATCTGTGTGCGAATTTCACAGTAATTGGGAAATTAAATTGACATAATGACATTCATTGCATGAAATGCTTTCTTGACAAAAACATCTCTCAATATTTATATAATTTGGATCAAAATATTTTATCTATAAGTAGAGTCACACACGACTGTGTGAACATACATAGTATTTCTATTCTTTTTTATTTGTGTGACAGGTGTTTAATGAGAACTTGTATTTATAGTGCTATGCTAGGTGTCAAAATTCAAAATGGAAAATGAGCACAGTTCACTATGATACAAGGGGCTTCTTAGGAAAAATAGACTGGCCTTTCCCTTGGTGTCCTTGGCATACCCAGAATCTGCTCTCAGTAATACACCCCAAGACTTAATCAGCGTCTCAGAGTTGTACTTAGAGGCCAACTCACATTAGCAAAGCTCACAGGAGACTGATGTATAAAATTAGAATGGTAATTATGCCAACATTAGACCTAACTCCTAGCTGGATTGGAGACTTCTGTTAAGGTCACTTAATGAACATGAAATTAGAACAATAATTTAGATGATTTGATGTGTGTTAGCCTGATTAATAAGGTAATCAATCCATTCAGCAAATAGATTGAGTATCAACTATGTATTGGAGACAGATTATCAACTATATATTGGAGATACACAGGGGATCGAGATAGGCACAATCCTGCTTTCATGAAGCCAATAATCCAGTGGGGCATACAGATGAGCAAATCTTGAGAGATTTATTACAATAGAGGGGGATAAATATGGTTGAGTAACCGAAAGTTTCTATGTGAGCTACAAGGGTGGGCCTAACTCAGACATGGGGATCTGGAAAGGTTTCCTGGAGGTGGTAATGTCTCAGTAGAGAGCTGAAAGGTGACTTAAGCAGACAATACAGGGGCAGCTGGTTCGGGGGTCGGGGGAGAGAAGGAGCACAAAGTTTTGAAGACAAAGGAGGGTTTGGCAGCTAATTCAGTGTGGCTGCAGTGTGATCTGTGGTTGCTTCACTGTTGGGGTGATGCAAAAGAGGTTCACAGGAGCGGGGTTATAGGACCATCTCGACACCAGGTACATATTTCTCAGGCTGAATGGATTCTCACATCACTTTGGGAGGGATTATGCTGGATAATATTATCTAGTTTACAGGGCCACCACCTGAGACTGGGCAGGTCGTGCCCTGCCTGAAGGTCTCGCTTGCCCAGCATGGCTAACCTTTTCCTTTATGGGTCGCCTTCTTCTAGGCTTCCACTGATGACCAGCTTTGGCTGTTCCAACTCACCACAGCCTGTAAAAGACTCATGCTCTCTTTGGATTGCTTCGTACCTGCAGCATGTTTTCATGCCTGGGAGGTATTGTAGCCATTTCATCAATGAACTCTCAGAGCTTAGTCTTACTTCCCTTATTGTCAAGGTCTTGGGCAGCGCTGCACTGTACTCACAGAGCACCTGCAAAGGAGTGGATTTGTCAGGGTGAAGTAACAGTGCCAGAGAGTGTGTGATAAAGGGCCTCGGAGAGGAGCAGAATGGAGAAGTGGCTGGAGCTGTTGGGGGAGGTCTCCAGGGAGGCAGGACTTCAGCAGGACCCCGAAAACTGAGTAAGTTTCGTCAGGGTGGTAGGCAAGGAGTTTCTCTGGTAGACTTGAGTAATGGGACATAGATTATAGAAACTTAATCCTCATTTTAGTGTGGAATGAACTATGAGGTTATAAGTCTTCATTCTTCATATAAGTCTGTGGGTTCGGTCATGTAATATTTGGTCAGCTGGTACACTAAAGCCTTGACAGTTTTGACCATACATTTGGCACTTTTTCCACTTTAGCATCTAATAAACCAGTTCCAGTAACAGCAGATAGTAAGAAGCTGAGTCCAGGTCTTGCGCTCTGATTTCCCCAGGGCACCCCAGCTTCACTGTAGTTTCTCAGATCCAATGATGGCAAGAGAGTTGATACGCCTCCTAAGTGCAGTCTCTGTAATTTAAAATTTCAGGGAGGTTACATCCTGAACAAGGTGGCACAGCTACATCATGACATCTTAAAACCGAGTAGTTTCTGAGAACCAGAGTTGTAGAAACATACCACATCTGTACGAACTTGTTGAAGTGTAAAGATAGATTGTAGAGAAGGTACTTAAAAAGCTTATGAAATATAAAATATTTTGGTACAACTGAATTGGAAAAGTGGCAGTTAAGTAAGAATGCCTTGAGGTGTATCCAGGATGTTTTGACCCTGCCATTTTGAACTACTGGGGATTCTGACCCTACTGTTTTGATCCTGGAGACATTTTGACTCTGCTTATACATAAAACATTTTGATCTGAATTATATAAATATTGAGAAATGTTTTTGTCAAGAAAGCATTTCATGGATTGAATGTCATTATGTCAATTTAATTTCCCGATTAGTTTCCTATCCAACATAATGCTGTTTCCCATTTGTATATTATTATTGTTTTGAGACAAGGTCCCACTCTGTCACCCAGGCTGGAGTGCAGTACCATGATCTTGGCTCACTGCAGCCTCAGCCTCCTGGGCTTAAGGGATCCTCCCACCTCAGCCTCCCCAGTAGCTGGGACTACAAACATGTAGCTAATTTTTGTACATTTCGTAGACACCAGGTCTCATTATGCTGCCCATGTTTCAAACTCCTGGGCTTATGGGATCCTCCTGTCTCAGTCTCCCAATGTGCTGGGATAACAGGTGTGAGCCACTACACCTGGCCACATTTTTTATTGTACTGGTTTTTTCCCATGGGATCAATTCTTTTCGATTTAAATTTTACAATGAAGATGTTGCATATCAATTTTTTGTTGTTATTCATACTGCATGTTACCAATTATAGCTTCTGCCACTGTGAGTTTCCCTTTATGGTTACTATAAATTAGGTAAGAACCTCATTTTCCCAGGTCAGATTTTACTGTTCTGAATTTTACTGTAAATAGCTTTAAATATTACATTTTAATTTTTATTATTTTTATGAGCTATGTTCATTATAAATTGGCTGAAAACAATGGATAATTATATTTCTTTCTAAAGTAGTCCTTGATTAAAAAAAAAATCCCCAGTTCTCCTATACAGTTTTGGAATTATCGAATTAATTCAGCCTAGGTCCATTGTATTGCTAATGCGGTGACTGTGCAAAGATCTAACCATCCTGCTTTCTCTGGGCTTTGCCTGGAATAAAGACCGCCTCTATGGTAGCAACCAATATAGACTTGGTGCTTCCAAACTAGCTCTGAAGCCTATTTAGGGAAAATCTCCACATTTAGAGGTGCCCTGTCCAAGATATACTCCTTCGATTTGTTTCTACTGTAATTTTTTTCTCCTAATCCTAATATCCCTTTCTTTCCTTTTTCCTTTCTTCTTCTTCTTTTTTTTTTGGTCTTAACCTCACCCCTTGCAACTAATACAGTTTCTCATTGTTGGCTACTGATTTATTTTTATGGGGAAAAAAAAAGTCCTGTTAATCCCTGCTTTGCTCTTGACTTACGTTCATCTTTCAACCTGGCAAGTGACTTTTGGTGAATAAACATCATTAGGAAAAAAAAAAAAAGAGAACATCCAACTTATTATTTCTTTACAGTCAAGAAGCAGACTGCAGATGTTCTTACTTTGATTTTGACTGGGAGCATTGATGCTGACAAGTATTTTTCCGTGAGATATTACGAAGTGGTCAGTTTTGTGGGCTGGTGGAATAACCTCTTTGCAGTCACTGACTGCACTAAATAGGGCCGAGATCATTGAGTTACTTTATTATCAGCTTGGATTCCCTACCCCATAACCGAAAGCAAGATGGAAGAAAGTAGCATGAAACTAGCAATGATTTTTATAGCGCCTTTTAAACCAGACTCTTCAATAATTCCCCAGAATGCAAATTTTGTTTCACAATTAAGGCCATACTTTCCACTCCTTTCAGAGTGACTCAGTCAAGACTGTTCATCTATTTATCCAAAAATTCTAATCACAGAAAATATTTTATTGCTTATTTAGAAACAGCATGATACTAAGATAGCATGTTTTGCATTAGTCTACTTTTCTTTAAATTTAAATGAAGGACAAAATGGAAAAATAATTGAAAACAGGCTATGCTTGATAGCTTCATGAGAAAGAATCATGGTGGAACTGAAAACCTTAGAAGCTGGTTACACATGATGGAAAAGAGGCCCTCACGAACTGATTACACCATTCCCATTGCTTTGCTTGTAAATGCATTTGGCACACAATAAAACTTTTAGAAAATCAAGTTGTTGAATCAATGTTTAGGTGATGACAACTTCCCTTGTAAATAAAGGTCACTTCCTATAACTTTGACTTTAGTATTGATTGATTGATCGAGACAGGGTCTTGGTCTGTTGCCCAGGCTGCAGTGCAGTCACGTCTTACTTGACCTGCCAGGCTCAAGTGATCTTCCTGCCTCAGTCTCCTGAGTGGCTGGGACTACAAGCATATGCCACCATGCTCAACTAATTTTTGTATTTTTTTGTAGAGATGGTGTCTCCCTATCTGACCCAGATAGGCTGGTGACCCAGGCTGGCCTTGAACTCCTGGGCTCAAGCAATCCTCCTGGCTTAGTCTCCCAAAGTGTTGGGATTACAGGTGTGAGCCACCATGCCCCGCCCACCTTGACTTTAATGCTACCGAAATACAGTTTTCCCCACCAGGCCTCAAGTAATGTATCACACACAGCAGGGCAGCTACCCTGAGAACATATGCATGTACTCAGATGACCAGCTTCTTTTAAAAAAGAATTCAAACCCACAGAATTAGAAGAGTGTCCTTTGGATTTCTACAGAGCACTGAGAATCCTATGTAGGGTTTAAGTGAATGCTAAACAGGGTTACTGAATGTTGCACAGAATCTCAGAATATTGAAAGTAACATTTATTGATTTGACATATAATAAGTTTGTTGTTACCTGACTTTTTGGTTTGTAAAACATGAAGCATTTCACAAGTTGGATCCCACCATTTCTGCCCTAAGCTGCAGACAGTCTCCTGGCACCCCCACCGGTTTACCTCTTTGCCCGCAGCTGCTCAGAGCTGTCTTGCTGCAAGGCTGATATTTACTGTCTGACTCCAACAAGGATGTTGGTAATTTTAAATTTTTCTGGCTTTTAGCTTGTGACGTTATTATCTTGCTCTGTGTCTGTTTTCTTTTAGATTTTAGATTTCTGACATCCCAAGAGGCCTTTATGGAGTGTTGTTTTATCCTCTTTGCTCCTTCTTTGTTGAAATTTAGAAAATAATATTTGAAAGCAGTCCCTGGGAACTTAGGGAGAGAAAGAACCACAAATCCAGGCAATTTAAATCTTTGGTTTCTGATAAATTGTATATGAATGAGATATGCATCATAATCAACATTAAATTCAGTAACTTTTTTTATTACTGAAAAATGACAAGCCAGATCAGTTCAACTCTGACCATCATAAAAACACAAGTATCTTACTAAAATAAATACTAAATACTAACCAGCAGGGCTGAGCCAAAGGGTGAGATGAGTGAGGTACCTGTCTTGGGCACAAAATTTAAGGGGACATCAAAAAAAAAAAAAGGGGGAGAAAGAAAGAAAACCAAAAAGAAACAACAAAAAACCCCAAACCAAAAAACTCGATAATCAAGCTAAATGATATTTTAATGCAATATTTTAAAAAATAAAACAAATGAAAAAAAATTATGATGAACAAAATATAAATGTTAAAGACAAGACCAATAACAGTGCCTTGCCAGGCCATATTGCATCCTCAGTCAAAAGGAAAAATCAGTAACACTCATTCTGTCATTACCTAAAAATTTGATTTTTTTTGTTGACCTTATTTGCCTTACCCTCATCCTGGCCCTGCTAACCAGAATATCAGTGGTTAGGGTAAAAAGATGGCATAACCTTTCCTCTAAGAATGTTCACTCAAGGGAGAAAATACGTGTAGTGATTTTCAAGCCTAGTTATGATCACTGGGTAACCAATATCCATAATTTTGACCCTGGTTTGGCTATAGTCTCAATTAGAAGGTATTTCCCAATCCCAAAAATGGAAGTGTTGTCTTTTTGTTAATTCAATATGAAGGGATCATATTACCAAAAACCATTACATTTCTTTCTTTCTTTCTTTCTTTCTTTTTTTAACCTGCTTAGAAAAACTCATGTAGTTCAATTCATCAAAAGTTTCTCCATCCACGGTGGTCCCCTCTGGCTCTCTCTTTATTGGTTTTGGCGGGGGAGGGCCTGTGGGGCTTTTTCCGGTATTCCACTTTTGTCCAGCCCCCTTCGCTGACTTTGCTCTCCTCTTCACTGGCTCTTGAGTCAGTCTCAGGGTGCAAAGGCATCCCTGGTATGGTGTTGGGTTGATGGAGGTCCCTAGGGCTTCTCTTGAAGTCAGGCGACTGGTGAGGATTGAGTGGTGACTGAGAAACCCTGTAGAACTTTCCAGGATATCTTCCTCTTGAAGGAGTGGAATGCTGACTTTTTCCACTGTATCTTCCTCTAGGAGAAGAATTGAGTGATATACTACCACGTCCATATTTGTTCCTGCTTCTGTCTGAGTATCGACCCCTCTCTGAAGAGGTGTCAGTATTGCCACTGGAAAAGCCACTGTCCCTAGAGCTGAGATGCAGGGAAGAGAAGTTTTTGGTCAGTCCATACTGAGTAGGAGAGGAGCTTCTGGACTGGTTCACAGGTGTAATCTGTTGATACTTAATGGGCACCTGGGTCCGTCTCACAGCAGCAGCATAGGAATCCTGGCCATCAAGGTATGAGAAGAATGGTGACCCCAGAATAGGATTGCTCTGGGAACGCTGTAAAGAAGTGTTGGATGCAATCTGCCGCATCCTCAGAGTATCTAACCACTGGCAATCAGCACCTGCGGGAGAAATGGAAATGAGCATCTTTGAAGCCACAGTAAAGCTGCATGCCTAATTCATACGCCTGTCTTAGGATAATTCAAGGCTGTTTGGGATGCTCTAAGCTTTACCATTCATAGAAATTCTAGGCTACGTATAAGGACATTTCCTTTATTACAAATACTTTAAAAAATAAGGACATTTACACTTAGTCAATCTATGCTATGTGCTTGGCATTGTTCCATGGGCTTTCCTTACACTATCTGATTTAATCCTCTCGATAATCTTCTTAGGTAAACACTAATAGTCTTATTCTATAAATGAGGAAGCTTGGGAGGTCAAATAACTTGCCCAAGATCACTCAGTCAATAATACCAAGGCCTTCTGCATCTAAATCCCATCTTCTTCCTACATAGTTGTGTTCTCACTTCTAGAAAGTATGTCCAGGTGGCAGGGGCAAGTTTAGTAAACAAAAGGTTTTTTTTGCAACCTGCACTTTTAAAACCTCAAGGACCCTAAATGCAGATAAAATAAATGAGGTTCCGAAGGTTGAGACAGCTAGAGATTGTTTGAAAGAAAGACCGTTCATGTGTCCAGAGGAGAGATCCTGAGGCTCGGGAATAAGAAGTATTTTCAGCACAAAAAAATGAAGCTGCGTTGGCAAGTAGGAAGAAGTTAAGATAAAAGAAAATGGTGAATTGACAAGGACCATTTAGTAAGCTATATTTCAGTGAATAAGCAAGTTCCTCACACCTGAGATCTTTTCTGCTCCCCCGAGCCCGAGCCTGAACAATGTTGCTGGAGTTCCTGGGTGGTCCTCCCAGCCTCAGCTTCCTCGGCTACTCCACCCTCTGCTCGCGCAGATGACGCGTGTGGAGGGTATCAGAGCATGCATGTCTCTGTCTCCCTCACTGCCTGCGCACAGGTGACCCATACCTCTGAGGTGAGTGACTTGCCCAGACAATTCCAGAGACTCCTCCCAGGCTTCAATGCATCACAACGCCTTCTTTTGTTGTTGTTATTGTATGTATGTGTGTATTTTATTGTGGTAACAACCACATTTTTCCATCCTAGCTTTTTTTTTTTTTTTGAGACAGAGTCTCACTCTGTCGCCCAGGCTGGAGAGCAGTGGCCGGATCTCAGCTCACTGCAAGCTCCGCCTCCCGGGTTTACGCCATTCTCCCGCCTCAGCCTCCTGAGTAGCTGGGACTACAGGCGCCCGGCACCTCGCCCGGCTAGTTTTTTGTATTTTTAGTAGAGACGGGGTTTCACCGTGTTAGTCAGGATGGTCTCGATTTCCTGACCTTCTGATCCGCCCGCCTCGGCCTCCCAAAGTGCTAGGATTACAGGCGTGAGCCACCGCGCCCGGCCCATCCTAGCCATTTTTAAGTCTATAGTTCAGTACTGTTAGTATATTCACATTGTTGTGCAACAGATCTCTATAATTGTTTCATCTTGCAACACTGAAACTCTAGACCCACTAATCTCTACCTTCCTCTTTGCCCTTTTCCCTTCCCTTCTCCCCTGCCCCCGACTCCCACTTGTTAACTATCTTCTCCTTCCTGTTTCTATGACTTTGACTACAGTAGATACTTCACATGAGCAGTATCATACAGAATCACAATGCCTTCTTTCCCTCCCATTGACTTCTCTGGAATTTTGGCTTCCAATAGAACCCTGATTTTGCTCAGTCTCCAACCCCCTCCATGTAGCCATGTGATCGGGAGAGTTGACCGCATTCTGGCTCCAGGGATCGACTTTAATTAGTTTAAGTCAGATGTGCTCATGCTATGTTTAGGGACGGACAAGTTGCTCTATTCTGGCCAAAGCAGAATTGGTGAGGGATAGTCTGCTGGGGGGTTCTAGAAAAGTTTTCCTTACTCCTATATATAAGAACAGGTAGGGACCTAACCCGTTATTTCCTCTGGGCATTGCCATATCTTTGTGTGATGACTGTAAACAGGAGAGGAGCCGAGGGCAAAGGCAGCCTATTGAGCATGGCAGGGCGGAAAGAAGGGAAGGTTCATTCCACTATCTGAATATGGTTGAGCCGGCTTATCTTACTGCACCTGGAGCCTGCCCTGCCTCTGAACTTCTTGTTATGGAAGATAATAAATTTTATTACAGTTTAAATCAGTGGTTTAAGGACTTTAGAGTTGTTCTTAATCACCGGGAAGGCTCCTTAAAATGCAGATTGCAGGTCCTACCCCCAGAGTTCTGGTTCAGTAAGTCTAGGTTTGGGCCTGAGGATCTGGATTTCTAGTAAGTTCACAGGTGATCCCGATGCTGCTGGTCCTGGGGCCACACTTGGGAAACTATTGGAGTAAGGCAGTTGAAACTGGGTTTTCTGCTACTTGAAGCTCAAAGATAGATCTTAACTGATTGAGGTGGTATCCTCTGAGTCTTCAGATCATCTAAAAATGTCATAATTAAGTTTCTGGAATCTAGCACACATCTAATACGGGAACACTAACTTACTTGAGTCAGACCTACTTCCGGGGTTGCCGTCTGAATTGGTGAATAATGTCTGAATGGCAAGTTGGACTGCTTTCACTTCATCCTGAGGTTTTGTTCTACTCCACTGAATCGAATGGACATGTTTAGTGCTTTTTGGAGTTCTAACATCACTCTGGTTTAAAAAAAAAAAAAAAAAAAAAGACACATATAACCAAATAGACAAACACATATAAAATAGGAAAGAAAGACATCCAGGTTATTATATCACTTCAATTTCACTTCTTAGAACACTATCATAATGCACTAGGAAAATATTCTGAACGGTTGGCCCAAATATGCTCATTTGATGAAAAGAAAATGTTTAACCACTTTATTTCTTAGTGGGTTGTAGCACTTATTCCTCAATGAATTATAACATATATTTCTTAGTAAACTATAGTAGCTAAAAATATGGTTGTCTTCTCCCAGAATTTATTATATTTGACAAATCTCAACTTACCTCTTTGTTTAATAAGAAATAAAAATTTACCTCTTCTATTTATAGTACTTGAAGGCAGATATTTTGTTGAATAAATGAAAATGTGACCACCATGTTTGCCTCAGAGTGAATTCGGATCATCAAGGGAACTGAGTGAATGCGGTGGGGTGAATCACCTACATGGAGGGGGAACGGTCTCAGATGCAAAAGTGAGACAGGATCAAAAAGTAAGAAATGGGGACCAGGAAGAGGACACTAGGTCAAGACACATCACTTTCTTGTCCTGAAATCTCCCTCCTCACTAGCTGTCACCGATCAGTGTCAATTAAAGAGTCTCCAGGTTCAATACAGTTAGGGAAATCTGTTTTTAAAAACTCTGAAGTGAAAAACCCAGACAAAAGTGGCATATCCTCATGGGGTCTAAAAAAGGAGGAGGAGGGAGCGAGAAGAAGAAAAAGAACTGGGTGTGCTGTCTCCAAAACTGTCTAAGGCAGGCAGAGATAGAATCTGGTTGTTCTAATTGTCCGATTACTAACAAGAGGGCTTTTCCTGAGTAGTGAGGACCAGTTAACAGACTTTAGAATAGTCTGGATTCCAACTTCCTCAAGACCAACCAGCCTCTTTTGTTTGGGTTTTGTACCTCACAAGCAATGCTTTGACAAATAATGTAACTTCTTCTCAGATGCCTGACAACCTGTGCACCCCAGCAGGTAAGGATAAATAACTGCTGTAAAACTTTTTGGCTTCCAGCCTGGCCAGAGGTTTTTTTTTTGTTTGTTTGTTTGTTTTTTTTTTTTTTTTTTTTGAGACAGAGTTTTGCTCTTGTCTCCCACGCTGGAGTGCAATGGCGCAATCTTGGCTCACCGCAACCTCCACCTCCTGGGTTCAAGCAATTCTCCTGCCTCAGTCTCCTGAGTAGCTGGGATTGTAGGCATGCACCACCATGCCCAGCTAATTTTTGTATTATTAGTAGAGATGAGGTTTTACCATGTTGACCAGGCTAGTATCGAACTCCTGACCTCAGGTGATCCACCTGCCTCAGCCTCCCAAAGTGCTGGGATTACAGACATGAGCCACCATGCCTGGCCCAGAGTTTGTATTTCTAATACTGAAAAGCCAAATCCTGGCAGCCCAGGAAACCATCAAAATGCCACACTCACAAAGTCCTCTTTGAGGTGGACTTCATCTTACTGCAGCCACTGGGAGCTAACAGGGTAGCCAGGGAAGAGCAGAAAGTGTTTTTTTATAGTCAGAAAACATGGAAGTGACTTCAACAATTCTGTCAGTGAGTACCTCATACCTCAGGCCTTCCTTTCATCTCTCTGAGCCTGTTTTTCCTATCTGCAAAATGAGGATAATAATATCTTTCAGTTTTTTTTTTTTTTTTTTTTTTTAATCCTGGAGACGGGGTCTCACTGTGCCACCCAGGCTAGAGTACAGTGGTGTGATCTCGGCTCACTGCAGCCTCAACCTCCTAGGCTCAAGCAATCCCCCCACCTCAATCTCCCGAGTAGCCAGGGCCACAGACATGTGCCACCACACCCAGCTGCTTTTTGTAGTTTTCGTAGAGATAGGGTTTCATAATGTTGCCCAGGCTGGTCTCAAACTCTTGGGCTCAAGTGATCTGCCCACCTCAGCCTCCCAAAGTGCTGAGATTACAGGTGTGAGCCACTGTGCTGGGCCGATATTTTTCAGTATTGATTTACATGAAGTTAGTGTGATCAAACTGGTATAAGCACCTCTAACAGTGCCTGGTTCATGGTAGATCCTTAATAAATGTTTCTTGAATGAATGAATTGGATGAATGAATGAAATGCATGTCCCTTTGGTGGTGGGTGCACACTAATATCTCCAGGAGTGCCAAGACTGTACTATAACTGTTGCCTTCCACCCACTCCCACTAGGTTTATGTACCTTGTAAGGTGTATGTCCCACCAGCCACAAAGATCTTGTTGATTTTAAAAAAATTAGTATTAAGTATTAGTATCCCCAATACCAAACATCTGACATGGTATACAGAAGGTGTTCAGTCCATAACTAATGAATGAATGAAGCACTACCTCAGTCTCTATCTGGGTAAGTTTATCCTGTTCTCTTTTCTTCCCAACATGTTGTTAGATAAATTATATTGATCCCATGGTCATGATGGTTGGTTTATCTCCCAATACATTCCAATAAATTATATGCTCTGAGGTAACAGATAAATTTATATTCATTCACTGTTGGTGGGGCCACCAGCCTCTTGCCCCCAGAGCTTACCTCATATGTGACAGTGCACTCCACAGTCTGATTTTTTGCTATTCCTACAATCCACTTCTCCATTACAAATGGTGGCTGAAAAACAAAAGTTAGGATGGTGTAGTACCATAACACAGTCAGCTCTACTATCGTATGTTTCTTTGAGGCCAGTTGTGCCATACACAATTAGCAAATAGGGGCATAACATCAGATGATCATGAAAGCCTTGTCGGTTCTCATGTGATCACTCACAGCATGCTAATGTTTGGAGTTTTGCTTTTCATAAGACAACCTTTTGTATATTTGTAAACAGCTAGTCACGGCCTCCCACAATCTTCTTTTCCGATATAACATTTGCTATCACTCAGTCCTATCATTATGTCATTGATTCATGCTAAAGTTTGAAGCATCCGTTGGAAAACTTTCCCACAATTAAGAGAAATCCATAGCAATATAAGAAGACCCAGAAGTGCTTTCCTTGAGTAAAGCCGTGGCTGGTTCAGTGGCTTCAACAATCCCTCTGCTTTCCATAACATCACACTATCCAGCCAAGCTGCACATACACGTGAAGAAACCGTGGTTATGTTTTCCCACTATATTAAAACAAAGGATTAGTGAGGAAGCCTGTGCCTTTGATCCTATTTTAATTATGATGAAAACGGCCTCAGAAATAAGCTGCACTCTCCTCCCATCCCCCTTTCAGTTCAGGTTTAAGGCTGCCAAGGAATGACTGACCGTGAGCTGGGTTCAAAGAAAATGTGATAGAGATTTAGCTGGGCCAGGTTTTCTTTGAGACTGAGTCTCACTCTGTTGCCCAGGCTGGAGTGTAGTGGCACAGTCTTGGCTCACTGCAAACTCTTCCTCCCGGGTTCAAGTGATTCTCAAGCCTCGGCCTCTCAAGTAGCTGGGATTACAGGAGCATGCCACCATACCTGGCTCATTTTTTGTATTTTTAGTAGAGACTGGGTTTCACCATGCTGTCCAAGCTGTTCTCCAACTCCTGGTCTCAAGTGATCTGCTCCCCTCAGCCTCCCAAAGTGCAGGGATTACAGGTATGAGCCACCGTACCCAACCTGGGCTAGTTTTTTGTTGTTGTTGTGTGTTTGTTTTAAATTAGGATTGTTATTGTTTCTGTTGATGTTTAAAAATTCTATAACTTTTGATTGGTCTGTTCCAGTTCTAGTTTTCCTATAAGCCTGTTAATGTTGCTGTGTGATTTCGTATGTATGGCATGATAGCAGAAACATTTATATTCAGTTTTACAACTCCACGGCATGGGTGGGGAAGAAAGAAAATATATTTCCAGTCTTCAAGACAACATATTATGTCCCAGCAAAATAAGAAAAAGGTAAAACCAAGTCATAACCCTTATAGATAAATAATGCCATGGAAATAACTCCTAGATACACAGTGGAATCCAACAATGAATATCAAATCAATCTGCTTGATGTCCACTTGTAAATTAAAATGACTTGGTTGTTTAGCATTCTGATGCCTATGAAGAGAACACATTTACAATGTCTTCTCTCTAATGCAATGTGTTTTCTCTAATGCATGTCTTTGAAGAACCATTTTAGTTCCCTACTTATGTTTGTACCTGGGTTCTTTGCTACAAGCCCCACTTTCTTCACTGAAACCAAAGACCTGGTTAATAGTGTATCACAGTTAACGGATTATGTGAGGCCAGGGTGACTGTCCTGTTGACTTCATGGTTATTCACCTGAAGTTGTTGACCTTCTACAATTGAAGTCTCATATGTATTTTTCCAGTATGATTGGGACAGAATTGAATTTTTTTTCCATTTTGAGGAGCGAGCTAAGCATTTCCGCAAGTCTTTCTTCAGTGTTTTCCTCAGCATGCTTCCCATTGGCCCTGGAGTAGTAGCATGCTTTCTAGTCACTCCAGGAATTCATAGTGTGGACTTAAGGAAGCCATTAAGACTTTAATGTGTGCCTCATAATGAACCTCATCTCAGTCCTTCAGGGAATTGACCTCAACCAAGAAAGTCTTTCTCAACCAAGAAAGTATAAGTTTTCCAAAGTTTAAAAGTACTCAAAATTTGAAGTAAATATTTTCATCATTCACATTTTCCTTCCTTTAATAAATGACAGAGTAAGCATAAAGAACTATAGAAGAAAAAAATTTAAAAAAAATTAAATGATACCTTTTTGCAGTGCTTTTTAGTTCACACAGCATAAGTGGAATTTTAACAAAAACCTATTATGATCTCAATCTGCTAAATAAAATGTGCCTTTCAACAGCCAGCTCGAGGCTGAGCTGATGTGAGCATGGACAAGCACAAAAGCACACTGCTGGGGTATTTTAATGTCTTTGTTTGATATCTCTGAATTCAAAAGAGCTTTTAAGCCGTAAATAGAACCCTACCTTTGTCATCTTTAAAATCTCCGCATCAGGTAGGTTAGTGTTGAATGTCACATCTTTTATGTAGGTTATTGCAATTTCATCCCCATCCATCTCCATATACATTTTCCACTTACAATCCTGGAATTAAAAACAAAATTATATAATTTGAGAAAGTGAAACAATTTTTTTTTAGTGTCAATGTTTCATAACACATAAAATATTCTAAATGAAGTATTATTGGAGTGGCTTTTTTTTTTTTCTTTTTCAGTAAAAGGACATGAAATTAGATTCCTATGTATATCTAAGTAAGCCCCAGTTAGTGCAGCCTAGAGACATAATGTGTCAGTTTTAAGTGTTCTATTATAGGACTTACAAACTCAAAATCCTGAAGGGACCAGGCAGATAATAAAAAGGAGTAAAGCCAGGCAGTTTCCTTATAAAGCTTTAAGTGGCAACCTTTTAAAATAGACTCATTTAATTTACATATTAAACATTGTAGGAACATTTTTTCATTACCACAAAGAAATGTGGTTTTCTACTTTTCTTGAAATATAAGGCCCTCTTGATCCACCTTTAATCTTCCTAGATTGATAATGATGTGGGTTCAAGAAACTCTCACTTGCCTCTTAAGAAGGAAAACAACAATGCAAATGTGTTGATAAATGATAATGGACAACTAGGGAGTTATGGGGTGGGTGAGGGACTCCGGGAAACCAAAGAACAGTTCCCCTAAAGGCACAGCTACTTCGTGACTTCTGTTGATTGTTCCCATGTGGAAATATGAGCCCAGTTTTGCTAGGTCCTTTAATATTTCATGAACAGCTGAGAATTAGGATCCTTATGTAAAACTCTTGATTTTTAAACAATGGTATGTTAATTAAATTTTTAATAAAATCACCATATAATGGAAAAGTGCTTTACACCATTCATTAACAGGAAAATGCAAATTAAAACCACAATGAGGTACCACTATACACCCATCAGAATGGCTGACTGATAACATCAAATGTTGGCTAAGATTTAGAGTTACTGGAACTCTCATATTAATATTAATACATTGTTGGTGGGAAATGGTACAATTGCTTCAGAAAAATTTTGGTAATTTATTATAAAACCAAATATATGCCTATCCTATGACCCAGAAATTCTACTCCTAGGTATTTACCCAAGAGAAATGAAAAAAGTCTTGCCTAGGTATGTTCTTAGCAGCTTTATCATGTTAACTAGGAAACTTGAAACAAGCCAAGCATCCATCAAAATGAGAATGGATAAACTGTGATATATTCATAGAATGGAATACTACTTAGCAATACAAAGGAAGACATTACTGATGCATGCAACAACTTGGATAAATCTCAAAAACATTATAGTGAGTGAAAGAAGTATATAGAAAAAAAGAACAACCTAATGATTCCATTTATATGATATTCTAGAACAGACAAAACTAATTAATGGTAGAAAAATTCAGAAGGGTGCTTGCTTCTGCAGATGGGGACTTACAAGGGGTATAAGGAAACTTTCTGGGGGTAGCAGTGCTCTATTGATAGAGGTTTGGGTTACACAGGTACATGCATTGGTCAAAACTCAATGAATGTACATTTTAAATCTGTGTATTTCTCTTTTTAATTAATTTTATAGTGATTATTAAAACAGTTTTTTTTGAGAAGGGGTCTTGCTCTGTTACCCAGGCTGGAGTATGAGTAGCATGATCTCCACTCACTGCAGTCTTGACCTCCCAAGCTCAAGCGATTTTCCTACTTCAGTCTCCTAAGTAGTTGGGACCACAAGCACGTGCCATCATGCTCAGCTAACATTTTCTTATTTTTAATTTTTTGTAGAGCTGGGGTTTCACTATGTTGTTGCTCAAGCTCGTCTCAAATTCCTGGGCTCAAGTGATCCTCCCACTTCAGCCTCCCAAAGTGCTGGGATTACAGGTATAAGCCACTGCACCTGAACTGCATTTCTTATTCTAGCACACTGAAATATTTAGGAGGAAGTATACTGATGTCTGCAAATTAATTTGAAATGTATCAGAAAATCAAGATTGATGGATGGCTAGAGGGAGGGGTAGATGGATAAACCAAGTATATGTGATAAGCCAAGTATAGTAAAATGTTAATGGTTGAATGGGGGCTATGAGGGTTCACTGTAAAATTCTTTCAACTTTGCTGTATAAATAATTTAATAATAAAAATGGGGATAAACAAAGGAAAATAAACTCATGTCTTTGTACCAAATTTGACCCCTGGACCATAAATGCACATTCTGTCTGTCTGTCCATCTACCTATTTTTTAAAATTTCCTTTTTAGAGATAGTATGTCGCTGTGTTGCCCAAAATGGTCTTGAACACTTGGTCTCAAGCAATCCTCCCACCTCAGCCTCCCAAGTAGCTGGGATAGAGGCATGAGCCATTGCTCCTGGCTCTGTGTTTATTGAAGAATGAAGAATCCTGAGGATTAAGGCTAATGTACCAAGCACCTTACATGCTGAAACGGGAAAATGCCCTCATAAATAAGAGTGGACCTGGAATGTTTCCTAGAGCAAGCTCAGACATAATTCTTATGGAAAGGCATCAACAAAGAGGCTGTTGAAAGCCCGTTGGCTTCAACAGGAAGCTGGGGGTGCCTGATGTTTTAGGAAAGCCTCTAGATGAATTGCAAACCAAGCAGGGCCCACGTCTGACCCTCTTTGCCCAGCCACATTCACAAAATGGAGAGCCAATTAGTGAAGGAAAAGGTCTATTCAATAAAATGAAAACCTGGCTCTTGGCTAACGTAAGTCAAATTAGTTTCTCAGAATTGACAAATCTCTCAGTATTTCTTTGTTTTGGAGCCACTGCTACCCAGGCAACGTGGGTTCTGAGATAACTGGGCAGGATAATGACTGTTTGGTGTCATGATTGCTCTTCTCTGAAATAGCAAGAACCTTCTCAAGGCAGCAGCTGGGATAAAAAGCCTTAGAAGAGATGAGTTTACTTAGTTCAGTTTCTTTTGCCTGTCAAGTTTGGGAATTAAGTTAGTCAAAAGCACAGTCAAAAGACCTTGAATGGCATGAAAATGCCTGAACTTCGCCTGCTTCACTCTCATCTCCTTACCAGAGAGCTCCCCCATGACTTCAAGCTATAAATCAGACCCTCCTTGGCACACTGTCAGAACAGCTCTGTGTGAAGAAGCGGCTGACAGGAGGGGAACTCACATTTGTGGAGCGCTTACTATGCTCTAGGCATGTCGCTGGGCACTTACACCATGCTATTTTATTGGATAGCCATCAGAACCCTGAAAGTCAGGCCTATTTTCCCTTTAGATGAATGAGAAAAATGAGGCTCAGACAGATTAAATAACTTTCCTAGGGTTTCATGACCAATATGTGGTTGACATCAGCACAAGGCTGCATGACTCCAAAGCCGGAGGAGATACTAATGGGGACAGACAAGCAGGAGAGGTAGCAGGTGAACCTGCTGGATGGTTTTGTCCCGCTCCATAAATGGATCCAGCCATGGACAACAGGCAGGCGGAAGAAGGACCAGAGAAGATTTCACTGATACAACCCAGAAAGCTGGTGGCCATCATTCTCCCTGCAGCAACTGCTTCCCTGCTCCCCAAAGTCCAACTTGGAGAAACACTGATGCAAATAATAGGGTTAGAGACCTTTTATTTTTAAATTCTCTTTTTCTCTTCTACTAAAGAAAGACTTTTACCTGAACCATAAAAGAAAGTAGCTACAGAAGGAATAAAACTATAATCAAGGAAGTCATAAGACAAGGAGGCCATCATGCATTTCACTAAAAAGTAGGTTCTGCTTGTTACAAAGCTGGGTAAGAGAGAAAGAGAATATGCTCCAACACGCAGGGCCCATGTAAATCATAAAGTTAATTTGACAATGGCCTGACCTAACTCCAGGTATCTTCAGGGCATCTATGATGTCATCGTTGCCTAGTTAACAAAAGTAATCCACAAATAAAGTAATGGAATTCCTTATATTCTGCTCAGTTTCAAATTAGCCTAAGGTATCCTTAATGTTTTTGCCATTTTGTGAGTCATAAATTGTCAATGACGATTGTCCACAACTCTGGGATTCAAATGGTTATTGAATTGGACTGGACACGCTGCAGACATTGAGATGCCATGTAACCAGTTCTTAACTGATCAACCACGGAAAAGGCTATCATTACAAATAAAATGAATTAAGTCATCAATAACATCACTAAAAATAACAATTCCACAAGTTTATGAGCCTAATATAGGGTTTTACTTACATATTTGCAACCTTTTCAGTACCTTGGCTGTGACAGGGACCAGGTATTGGGCACAGTAGACTCTGATGTTTTTTTTATTTTTTTATTTTTGAGACGGTGTCTCACTCTGTTGCCCAGGCTGGAGTGCAGTGGTGCAATCTCAGCTCACTGCAAGCTCCATCTCCTGGGTTCACACCATTCTCCTGCCTCAGCCTCCCGAGTAGCTGGGACTACAGGCGCCCGCCACCATGCCTGGCTAATTTTTTGTATTTTTAGTAGAGACAGGGTTTCACCATGTTAGCCAGGATGGTCTCTATCTCCCGACCTCGTGATCCACCCGCCTTGGCCTCCCAAAGTGCTGGGATTACAGGCGTGAGCCACCGTGCCTGGGCCAGTGGACTCTGATTTTAAAACCATTCACCATTTTTTTTTTTTTTTTGGAGACAGGTTCTTACTCTGTCACCTAGGCTGGAGAGCAGTGGTGCAATCTCAGCTCACTGCAGCATCAATCTCCCGGGCTCAAGCGATCTTCCCACATCAGCCTGCCAAGTAGCTGGGACCACAGGCATGCGTCTCCATGCCTGGCTAATTTTGCCTTCATTCTTTGTAGAGATGAAGTTTCACTATGTTGTCCAGGCTGGTCTGGAACTCCTGGGCTCAAGTGGTCCTCCTGCCTCAGCCTCACAAATTGCTGGGATTACAGGCATGAGCAGCTGCACCTGGCCCAGGTAAACTATTGATTTTGGCTTGGGGTGAGTGTTAGAAATGTGGGTACTGATTTTTGAATTAGAAATATTCAAGGATCACTTTGAATGTCTGTGAACAACTCTCAAAAGCAAACAGCTCTCTATTCTGAGGTCCTATGGGAACTGCAAAATACTCTTTTTTCAAAACCATCTCACC